CTAAAAAGAAAAAAAAAATTTCATTTTTTACTTTTTTAATTTTACTTTTTTTTTTTTTTTTTTTATTTGTATTTTTTTAAATGAATTTTTCATTTATTTTATTCATTTTTTTATTGAATATTTTACATTTTTAATTTTACTTTTTTCAAAAATTTTTCTTTTCTTTGTATTTTTTTTAAATAAATCTTTCATTTATGTTATTCATTGTGTTCAGTGTTGTTTGTTAGGGATGTAACGATGTTATTAATATCACGGTAACAAAACTGTCTCGGTATTATCGCGGTCACATGACGATATGAAACGATAGGTGTGTGTAGTTTTTAAAATATATTTAAACTTCTTATTCTAACATAAAAGGTGTTTAAAGTTGTGTTTTGGGTCATTATGCTTTTGGCACAGTATCTGACAAACTAACGAATTTTTTATTTATTTTATTTTTATTTTACATATTTAATTTTTTCTTTTATTTGTATTTTTTAAAATACATTTTTCATTTATTTTATTTAATCTTTTACTTTTTTTTTTTTTAGTGTTTTTTTCTTTCTTTTTTTAAACTTTTATTTGCATTATTTTAAATTTATTTTAAATTTATTTTATTCATCTATTGTTTAATTTTATGTAATATTTCTTTAATTATTTTTATTTTTGTTGGTAATGGAAAAATCCCAATTACTGTTCACACTTTTCACAGAAATATATCTTCATTTAAAAGTTTTTTTTAATTATTTTATTTATTTTTAATCTTATTTTACTTATTTTTTATTTACTTTTTTAAAAAATGTAATTAAAATAATTTTAATGAATTAATTTATTCACTTTAATTTTATTTAATATTTCTTTATTTTTGTTGGTAATGGGAAAATCCCAATTACTGCTCACACTTTTCATACAAATATATATATTCTTTTAAAATTTTACAAATTTTTAATGTACTTTTTTTTATTTAATTTTTTTTTTTTTTCATTTTTTATTTAATCATTATTGAAATTTATTTATTATTTTTGGTTTATTTTACAAATCTGTTTAATGTTTTGTTGTTTTTATTCATTTATTTTTGTTGTGATATTGGGAAAAAATTCCAATTACTGTTCACACTTGTCTTTATAATGTTTGACCGATAAAATACTGCTACAAATAACAGGTAAGTGGTGTAAACTGAGTAAATGTTTTGGCAAACGTGTGTGTGTCAGGGCATCGAGGCTCTGGTGAGCGTGTCGGAGGGAGATCTCAGGAAAGCCATAACTTATCTCCAGAGCGCCGCCAGACTCCACGCCGAGCAAGAGATCACTGAGCAGATCATCATCGAGATCGCTGGGGTGAGAGAACCTTCCTGATGGAGATCGAGCGTCTCTCAATACAGCATCTCAACACTCAGACTGTCTTTTCCAGGTGGTTCCACCCAAAGTGATCGAGACGCTCCTCCAGATCTCTTACAGAGGCACGTTTGAGAAGCTGGAGCTCGCTGTGAAGGTCAGTCATCTGTGAGGGGTTTCTCTGCAGCTCTGCAGCTCTGATCCATAATCCCGCTCTTGATTTGTGCAGGACATGATCGATGAGGGATACGCCGCCACCAACGTCCTCAACCAGTTACACGACGTCATCATCGACGAGAAGCTGAGCGATAAACAGAAATCCGTCATCACACAGAAGATGGCTGTAAGTCTGCAGAGACGGGTGTGAAGTTTTGTGTGTTTGTTAGCGATGTAACGATATTATCACGGTCACATGACGATATGAAACGATAGGTGTGTGTAGTTTTTAAAATATATTTAAACTTCTTATTCTAACATAAGAGGTGTTTAAAGTTGTGTTTTGGGTCATTATGCTTTGGCACAGTATCTCAAACCGAAAGCACAATATGCTTCATCTCTTCATCAAGTCTGTCTCAAAGTGAAGCACACACTTGGTTCAGACGATCAGCTCGTGATCCGGTGTTTTCTGCGTCTCAGAGCGACTCGTTCACACTGAATGAATGCAGTCCACTCCTTTATTTCACCTGCTGTGAGTTTAGCGCGCGTTTGGGAACGCAGCAGACACCAGTTATGCTTTATTTTCACGGCAGATGATGACAGCGTTTCACTAGATTTGTAGTGAGACGTGTTTTTGTAATCCTGTTTTCACTGAAGCTGGAGTTTTCCTTCTAAATAAAAGCTTAAAGTGCAGCATGAATCGCTGACAGCTAGCGGTTTAAATGCAGTCCAGATTCACAATATCTCTCTCAAGTGTAGAAATTAGGAAAGAAGTATGCTAATCATACTAGAAACTTGCTAATCATGCTAACAACATGCTAGTCACTTGCTAATCATGCTAGCGACATGCTAGTAACATGCTAGCGACATGCTAGTAACATGTTAATCATGCTAGAAACATGCTAATCATGCTAATGACATGCTAGTCACTTACTAATCATGCTAGCAACATGCTAGTCACTTGCTAATCATGTTAGAAACATGCTAGTAGCATGCTAATCATGCTAGAAACATGCTAGTAACTTGCTAATCTTGCTAGTAACATGCTAGTAAATTGCTAATCATGCCAGAAATATGCTAGTAACAGGCTAATCACGCTTAAAAACATGCTAATCATGCTAGAAACATGTTATCAACATCTATCTAATCTATCTAAATTTTCAAATTTCAGGCTTTTACAACTGCTTTAAACTTTCAGTCTAGGCTTTCTCAAGCCAACCTAAAGTTTGTCTTGACGAACTTTTTTATCTAGTTGTTATTATTATTATACTAATTAGTTTATCTTCCTAAAACAGCAGTGTGAGTGTAATTTAGACTGAGACAGTAGATCACAAATAAAAAGAGGGCTGAGTCTCCTTTAAAGTTCAGCTACAAGTCAATTCACTGACTTTTTCTGACTTAAGTTTTCTTAGTTAAGAACATGGGTCGCAGCTCTTCATTCTGAATGAATGCAGTCCACTCCTTTATTTCACCTGCTGTGAGTTTAGCGCGCGTTTGGGAACGCAGCAGACACCAGTTATGCTTTATTTTCACGGCAGATGATGACAGCGTTTCACTAGATTTGTAGTGAGACGTGTTTTTGTAATCCTGTTTTCACTGAAGCTGGAGTTTTCCTTCTAAATAAAAGCTTAAAGTGCAGCATGAATCGCTGACAGCTAGCGGTTTAAATGCAGTCCAGATTCACAATATCTCTCTCAAGTGTAGAAATTAGGAAAGAAGTATGCTAATCATACTAGAAACTTGCTAATCATGCTAACAACATGCTAGTCACTTGCTAATCATGCTAGCGACATGCTAGTAACATGCTAGCGACATGCTAGTAACATGTTAATCATGCTAGAAACATGCTAATCATGCTAATGACATGCTAGTCACTTACTAATCATGCTAGCAACATGCTAGTCACTTGCTAATCATGTTAGAAACATGCTAGTAGCATGCTAATCATGCTAGAAACATGCTAGTAACTTGCTAATCTTGCTAGTAACATGCTAGTAAATTGCTAATCATGCCAGAAATATGCTAGTAACAGGCTAATCACGCTTAAAAACATGCTAATCATGCTAGAAACATGTTATCAACATCTATCTAATCTATCTAAATTTTCAAATTTCAGGCTTTTACAACTGCTTTAAACTTTCAGTCTAGGCTTTCTCAAGCCAACCTAAAGTTTGTCTTGACGAACTTTTTTATCTAGTTGTTATTATTATTATACTAATTAGTTTATCTTCCTAAAACAGCAGTGTGAGTGTAATTTAGACTGAGACAGTAGATCACAAATAAAAAGAGGGCTGAGTCTCCTTTAAAGTTCAGCTACAAGTCAATTCACTGACTTTTTCTGACTTAAGTTTTCTTAGTTAAGAACATGGGTCGCAGCTCTTCATTCTGAACTCTCTAAGTGCATTAGAATAATTTAACTTTAAATTGTACAAAAATTTCATTTTTTCCCCCAATTTTTCATTAGTCTTTTTTTTTTTCTTTTTAAATATAGCAATAATATCGTATCGTGAGGTTTTGACACAGTGTTTGTGTGTTTCAGGAGGTGGATAAGTGTCTGGCAGACGGCGCAGATGAGTATCTGCAGTTACTGAGTCTCTGCTCCGTCATCATGCAGCAGGCCACACACAGCACCTGAGCCGACCAATCAGCTGCTCCGTCACACTTCAGCCGACCAATCAGCACTGGCGCGGATTCCACACACAGCTGCCTAGACTGTTGTTTTCAACTTTTTGTACGTGTAAAGTTTGCAATTAAAAACAGTTCTTTCTAATATGTGTTGTGCTGTGTTTTTAATCACTTAAAGAGACAGTTCACTCAAAAATTAGAATTCTGTTTGCTGCTCCCCATTGACTTCCATAGTATGGAGAAAAAAATACTATACAAGTCAATGGCTACCAGCAGCTGTTTGGTTTCCCACATTCTTCAAAATATCTTCTTTTGTGTTCAGCTGAAAAAAGAAACGCATACAGGTTCAGAAGCACATCAGAGTGAGCAAGGGTACAATTACATAAAAACAGAAAAGTTTTGTACACATGACGTTTTCGAAATGATCCCCGGTCACACAGATCCACAAAAATGACTAGAAATGCTGTATTATTAATGCCCAGCCAGTAGGTGGCGATGTCCCTGAAACATCACACATGCTTATATTGTTGTATTTTATATGGAGACGATAGCAGTACAGTTCCCAAAAACTTACACTTTGAAACTAATTTTCAAAAATTCGCGTTTTTAGTCCCGCAAAGTGCAATTTTCATGTAAATAAACGGCTGAAACGCATAAAAGTTTTCTGTTTTGAGTTGAAAACGGTGTTGTGTAAACACCCCCCAAATAATGACAGAACTATCCCTTTAATATTTTCAAAATATCATAAATAGTGCTGTCAAACGATTAATCGCATACAAAATAAAAGTTTTTGTTTGCATAATATATGTGTGTGTTCTGTGTATATTATGTATATATAAATACACACACATACAGTATATATTTTAAAAATATTTACTTGTATTTACATGTCTATTTATATTCATCTAATTTATATTTGTGTGTGTATATATATATATATATATATAATAAATATACACAGCACACATACATATATGTAAACAAAAACTTTTATTTTGGATGTGATCGCGATTAATTGGCAGCACTAATATTTTTATTTACTTATATAATGTAATTATTATTTATAAATGATATATTACAAAATATAAATAATTAAATCATTTATTTAAATTTTAAATAATTATAATAATTAGATATTTTTATATAATTATATTTAAAAGTATTTCCTTTATACAGACAAAATCCTAGTTTACTACACTTTTATTTCAATTCTTTGAATACTATATCAAGTTGTCACAGCAAGAGTTAATTCCATTTGAACACACAACAACTTTTCAACCTAAAGATGTGAGTACATAGAGGACATTAACTGGTAAAAGCTGTTTTGTCATCTTGAGTGGCTCTAGAAGGGTCTGTTTCTGGAGCGTGTGTTGATCAGTCCCAGCACTGAGAAAGCACTCGCTGCAGCCGTCACTAAACTGATGGCGCCTATGGCTCGTGACGCCTGCCAACACACAATCACACACTGTATGAGATCAACAGATTACAGCAGCAAAATATCAAATGATGTCTCATGATGATCAGTATGCATGAGAGAAAGTTACAGTGTATTTGATGGCATGCTGACTGATTGGCACATTCATCTGTGACAGTATTTATATCTTAGATACTCGTCTAACTAGACAGCATCTTTGTCATAATGCATGTCCCGAATCAGTAGCATTTTTGTTTTCTCCACAAGATAGAAAAAAATTAAAAATACAAAAAGGTAATTGTCACTTCTGATTTCAGAATTACAATTTTTTTCTTACAATTCTAGGTTTATATCTCACAATTCATTGCAAGTTTAGGTTTCAAATCTAAGTTTATATGTTGCTATTCTAAGTTTAAGTCTCACATTCGTAAATTTACATCTCGCAATTCTCAGTTTATATCTTGCAAAGATAAGTGTAAACCTCAAATTCAAAGTTTACATCTCGCACTTCTGACTTTTTTTCTTAGAATTGAACATATTTATCTCACAATTCTACGTTTACATCTCGCAATTCTTTTTTTGGAATTGTAAGTTATATCTCACAATTCTACGTTTACATCTCGCAATTCTTTTTTTGGAATTGTAAGTTATATCTCACAATTCTACGTTTACATCTCGCAATTCTTTTTTTGGAATTGTAAGTTATATCTCACAATTCTACGTTTACATCTCGCAATTCTTTTTTTGGAATTGTAAGTTATATCTCAATTCTACGTTTACATCTCGCAATAATTTTTTTGGGAATTGTAAGTTGTATCTCACAATTCTACGTTTACATCTCGCAATAATTTTTTTTGGAATTGTAAGTTATATCTCACACTTCTACGTTTACATCTCGCAATTATTTTTTTGGAATTGTAAGTTACATCTCACAATTCTACGTTTACATCTCGCAATAATTTTTTTTGAATTGTAAGTTATATCTCACAATTCTACGTTTACATCTCGCAATTCTTTTTTTTGGAATTGTAAGTTATATCTCACAATTCTACGTTTACATCTCGCAATTCTTTTTTTTTGGAATTGTAAGTTATATCTCACAATTCTACGTTTACATCTCGCAATAATTTTTTTGGGAATTGTAAGTTATATCTCACACTTCTACGTTTACATCTCACAATTCTGACTTTTTTCTTAGAATTGCACATTTTTATCTCACAACTCTTTATTTATATCGCAATTCTATGTTTACATCTCGCAATTCTTTTTTTTGGAATTGTAAGTTATATCTCACAATTCTGCGTTTATTCTGATTCTGAGTTAATTCTGAGAGTTCCGAGGAGCTCACTTGAAACAGAAACTAATAAAATGTCAAAAAAACTTATTCAATGGTTAAAAAAAATTTAATAAGCTGTCACAGCTTAGAATTTAACTTTAAAATAACTTTCCTGGATTTAACTTAAGATAACTTAAATATCCACTTCACATTTCAAGTTAGGCAGCACAAACACTTACTTTTTTTAAGTTGAAACAGCATGTTTTACAGAGTCTTTTACATATACCATGGTACTGGCTGAACACCAGACTCCCAGCACATGCCCCATAAGAAGTGTGCTAGTAACCCAGTGTTTGTGTTGTGCACACAGAGACAAAAGAAGAGCACTAGACCTGCTCAGACACTGCCTCGCCGTAGCGCAGGAGAGTGACGAAGTGCTCACAGTTGCTTCCCAGCAGGTCATATGACAGCTCCTGTCCAATGAGCAGCTGCGCTCGCTGGATGATCTCCGACACGGCCAGCGGCGTGTGATTGTCATCATATTTATTATTGATCCGGTATGAATCTCCTCCCACGACCTCCTTCAGGAGCTGCATGCGGACCACGGCCTTCCGGCTGAACACGGACTTCACACTGGACACAGCTGCGGCCGGACTCTCGTCTGCCCCGAGGACAACACAGACAGAGACGTTTAGTCCACATCTGCCCTCAAAAAACATTTAAGATCTGTGTATTTGAATTATTGCATATAACCAGGTCAAGAAAATAAGTGACCCTGCAGCACAAAAGCAGTGTTAAGTCGCTGGGGTATATTTGTAGCCATAGCCAACAATACATTGTATTAGTCAAAATTATTGATTTCTCTTTTATGCCAAAAATCATTAGGATATTAAGTAAAGATCATGTTCCATGAAGATATTTTGTAAATCTCCTACTGTAAATATATCAAAACTTAATTTTTGATTAGTAATATGCATTGCTAAGAACTTAATTTTAACAACTTTAAAGATGATTTTCTCAATATTTAGATTTTTTTGCACCCTCAGATTCCAGATTTTCAAATAGTTGCATCATTGCATCAGCTGATGCATAAATCTCAATTTAAAAAAATTGACCCTTATGAATGGTTTTGTGCTCCAGGGTCACATGCTTTTCTGAAATATATACATGCATGTGTTTGTGTTTGTATTTATGCATACATAATACACACACATATAGCATGTAAACAAAAAGCTTTATTTAGGATGCGATGAATGGTTTGACAGCACTACTTGAAATACACTGAGGCGGAGTGAGAGAGTGTGGGGGCTGGTGGCACGGACCGACAGGTGTGAGGTTGATGATGTATCCGTCTCCCAGGTAAAGAGCCCAGTGCTGATAGGCCGGTCTGAAGATCTCGATCAGGTCTCCAGGCTGAGGCTCCTCATCAGCTGCACTCGAGGCCATCTGAAGCAAACACACAAATCACGCTTCTTTAGCAATAGCAGACCTGCGTTTGATTACTGAGGTTTTCCATTTGATCGATTGCAGGCTTAACATTTTTTCTTTAATCCTCAGATTAAACTAAAAACCCGAATAATGGCGTGATCTTTCTCCCTTGAGTCTGCCAGCCAATATTCATCTTTTGTCGTGTCAGTTTAATAAGTCAAAATTTGACTCACTCATGAGAAATAACATTAATAATCAGCAATAATGTTTCTGTTGTGTAGGATATAAGAGAGTTTCAGTTGATTTGTTATTTAGTGTAATTTATTATTTTTTATTAAGAGAGGTCACTTCACATTTTCACATATATTAATCTTTTTTAAAAATATTTTATTTAGGATTATTCTTGCTTTACAATGAATGTATATGTGGTCCGTCATATACACGCCAGTATAAAAATAAATATTCAATACAGTGATTTTATTCCGCAATATATATAAAACATTACATAATTTAATAATAAATAAAAATTCCTGTCTAAATAAAAGCAAAAAAAACGCCAAAAATAAATATCCAATATATTGATTTTATTTCTCAATATAATAATAATAATAATTTACTAATAAATACAAATTCCTATCGAAATAAAGGCAAAAATGCCAAAAAATAAGTCTTCAATATATTAATTTTATTCAGTAATATCTATAATAATAATAATAATAATAAATAATATGAATTGACATATATTCACAGGTGCACAAAGCAGTGCATCATGGGTAATTAGTTTGTATTTTTCATAATTTAGTCGTATCGTATCGTATAATACCTTCTTTAATGCTGCTAAAAATGATTTTATTGCTCAGTATCTTTGTCTGGTTTTCTGTTACAAGCACCTAAACACTCATAGATCAAGAAACATTTACTGGAGATGCTAAATGACTAGATTTTAATTAATTATTCATTTAATTATTAATAACTATCAGCGAGAATGATTGAGAGTTGTCATTTTATATAGGCTACCATATGACAGGTATTCTTGTTTTAGTCATAAACTTTTCAGAAAACAAGACTTCATATCATGAGTCATTTTGTGCCTTCAGTAAATGAATCTTGATTTAAGGATGTTTACACTGAAGGACATTGTACTTCTACAATCTGCTCATACACACACAGTTCTAAATAACTGAAGAAGTGCTTGTTTACTCACATGAACAGTTCTTCTCTGTTGATTATCCATCATCCCACAGCAGAATTCTGCACATTCTGATGGAAGAATACACCAGAGTTTCACATCTTTATACATGTGCTTGAATCATCCTTCATTTAAAGACGTTAGAGGAATAGTTCACCCAAAAAGGAGAGTTCTGTCATCAGTTGTTTTAAACCTGTATGAGTTTCTTTCTTCTGTTCAACACAAAAGAAGATGTAGAGAGGAAACGATGACAGAATTCTCATTTTTGGGTGTACTGTCCCTTTAAACACTGGTGGCACACTGAACCCAATGAAGGATCACACTTGTGAGCATGTTAGGTGTGAGGTGAAAACAGCCAGAGAGTGCTGGAGTAACACAACACAATGAACACACACACGGTTCACAGGCTCTTACAATAGCTTCTCAATAATAGAGAAACCAGCAGAAGAACACGGGCCGTGAAACCTGCTCATCAAACATAGTATTTGAACAGAAACACATTTCACATTTGTGTAAACTACACTTTTACTCAGAGCTTCGTGTCAAAATAAACATTTCAGAATTCATTTTCAGCTCAAATGTGCTCAGTAGGGTTATTATAGTCGACTAAAACCATAACAAACATTGAAATAAAATACACATTAAATGAAATTAAATAAAACATAAAAAAAATTTAAATTTAAAATAAAAAACTAGTTTTTTCAACATTGCCAATGCAACGTTTTCTCATTTTTATTTGGTTGAAGTTGACGACTAAAACTAAAACTGAAATAAAAAATAATAAAAATAATAAAAATTAAAAACTCGTTTTTCAACATTGCCAATGCGACGCTTCTCATTTTTATTTAAAGTTGACGACTAAAACTAAAACTGAAATAAAAAATTATAAAAATAATAAAAATAAAAAACACATTTTTTCAAAATTGCCAATGTGACGTTTCTCATTTTTATTTAAAGTTGACGACTAAAACTAAAACTGAAAAAAAAAACTCATTTTAAAATAAAACCATAAAAAACACTGAAATAAAATACACATTAAATGAAATTAAATAAAACATTTTTAAAAAAAAATCGTTTTTCAACATTGCCAATGCAACGTTTCTCATTTTTATTTAGTTTAAGTTGACGACTAAAACTAAAACTGAAATAAAAATCATAATAAACAATATAGACATATTTAAAAAAACAACAAAAATTGATTAAAATTGACAAAAACACTCAACAAAATGACCCTGAAATAAACATGGAAGCAGAAGATATGAAGAAACTCCAGTGGCATGTGAATGAGACTGCTGTAACTTGATCAGAGCGTCTCTGCTTTCTCAAGAACTGAATTAATGAAGTCAAATGTAGAGTCTGGCATCTAACAGCAGCGATGAGATCCCGTGGATATGAAATGAAGCAGACTCACTTATTAGCAGATGTCATGATCAGCGGGTGATGTCAAGCCTCCATGGATGTGCTGTGATTCAGGAGCGCGTGTGTCTGATCTGAGCTGCTGCGGTCACTCGCGGGTCACACACAACACACTCGCTCTTGCTGTGTTCTTACACGCCATCGCTTCAGTGTGACGCAGACAATCAGCACTCCTGAGACTACAGCAAGAGCAATACTGTTTCTGTGTGTGTGTGGCATACAGATCAGAGCAGCACTTTAGTTATTCTTCTTTATTAAGAGGTAGAGGTCACGTCACATTTTCACTTGAATTTCTCCATTATGTTTTATTTAGGATTTTAATACCTTTACAATGAATGTATATGTGGTCCGTGTGGGTCCTAAATCTTCAATACAGTGATTTTATTCCGCAATATATATGAAATATTGCATCATTTAATAATAAATAACAAATCCTGTCTAAATAAAGGCAAAAAATGACAAAAATAAATCTGTAATATGTTGATTTTATTTCTCAGTATATTATTATTATTATTATTATTATTAATAATTTACTAATAAATAAAAAATCCTGTCTAAATAAAAGCAAAAAATGACAAAAAATAAATCTTCAATATATTGATTTTATTTCTCAGTATATTATTATTATTATTATTATTAATAATTTACTAATAAATAAAAAATCCTGTCTAAATAAAAGCAAAAAATGACAAAAATAAATCTGTAATATGTTGAATTTATTTCGAAGTATTTATACTAATAAAAATAATAATATATATCATATATAATATATATTATATATTAAAATATATAATATAATGTAATAATAAATAAATAAATCCTGTCTAAATAAAGGCATAAAATGCTAAAAATAAATATTCAATATATTGATTTTATTTCTCAATATAATAATAATAATAATAATAATAATAATAATAATTTACTAATAAATAAACATTCATGTCTAATTAAAGGCAAAAATGCCAAAAATAAGTCTTTAATATATTAATTTTATTTCTCAATATAATATAATGATAATAATAAAATATTAATTCACATGGATTTCTTTTTAAAATATTTGATTTAGGATTGTTTTACCTTTACTTGAATACAAATGAAAGAGTAAAAAATCCCTAAACTAAACAAAACAAAACAAAACAAAACAAAACAAAACAAAAAAAAAAAACAGATATCAAGACCAATGCAAAGTAAAACGGCACAATATTCAAAATATTTATGAGAAAGTATCTACAGAAATCCATCCTCTTTCATATAGTTGTGGCAGCTTAACTGCTGGATCAGGCTTTTGCTTGTAGCACAAAATCAAACATAAAAACCCAGCAAAACAAATAAACAAACTAGAAATTTAAACAAAACAAATAAAATTACAATCAAAAAGGCTATATTCTTTTATATAAGTTAGTTTCTTTTACAAATGTAATAAAATCATCATATATCTTATTAGCTGTTTTCCCTAATAAAATACCTTCAATGACTGAACAAGGTGACATCTTACTCACTCTCGCGAGACTAGCCAATCTCTCCAGTCTCCCCGCACGCCATTCTCGCGAGAGTCGAGGATTGTTTCGATGCATGAGGGCGAGTCCCCTCATTCTCGCGAGACTCCGCGCTGCGTTCACTACGCCCGCCCGTGATTCTCGCGAGACTGCGAGCGGAAGATGGCAGATGGCTCTTCCTCGTAGAGTGTGTGAGTGTGTGTCGTTTGTTTACCGTTCGATGCGTCGCTCCGGTGCGTGTTTCATTCCCGTCCGTCTCCGTTGAGTCACCGGACAGTGTTCATGTTGTGCGGGCTGCTGTTTTCCACCGTTCATCTGTGTAAATATGACGGGAGAGAAGATCCGCTCGGTGCGCAAAGAGCGCAAGGCGGGTTTGGATCTGCTGGAGCCGGACGAGGAGCCGGCGGCCACCGGGCCGACCAAAGCCAACCGGGGCAGCAAGATCCTCAGCGGCGGCAACCACAAGATCCTCCGCTCCAGCTCGCAGCAGAACCAGAACCACGGCGACACTGACGGCGCGTATCCCGTGCATGAGTGCGTGTTCCGGGGAGACGTGCGGAGGCTGTCATCGCTCATCCGGACGCAGAACATCGCGCAGAAAGACCTGCACGGTGAGAGAGACCTGACATTATTCAGAGCTGATCGAGTGTCCTGATAATCCACAAGCACGATCACCTAGAACCGTTATTATTCAGATTATTCATGGTGATTGAGAATCATAATAATCCACAACCGTGGTGATCTAGAAATAGGTTATTTTTCAAAATCATAATATCTGGAATCATGCTGATCTAGAGCCGTAATGACCCAAAAACATGGTGATCGGGTGTCCTAATAATCCACAAGCATGATCATCTAGAACCGTTATTATTCAGATTATTCATGCTGATTGAGAATCACAATAATTCACAACCGTGGTGATCTAGAAATAGGTTATTTTTCAGAATCATAATATCTGGATTCATGCTGATTTAATACCATAATGACTCAAAAACATGATGATCTAGAACCGTTATTATTCAGATTATACATGGTGATTGAGAATCATAATAATCCACAACCGTGGTGATCTAAAAATAGGATATTTTTCAGAATCATATTATCTGGAATAATGCTGATTTAGAGCCTTAATGACTCAAAAACATGGTGATAATAAACCACAAGCATGATGATCTAGAACCGTTATTATTCAGATTAGAGATGGTGATTGACAATCATAATAATCCAGAATCTTGTAGATTTAGAACTATTATCATTTAGCGTCATAATAATCCAGAAACATGTTGATTTGGATCCTTAATAACTCAAAAACATGGTGATCAAGAACTATGATAATCCAGAATTGTGTAGATTTAGAACTATTATCATTCAGAGCCATAATTATTATAATTAAGAAACCATAATGATACAAAGCATTGTAATTGAGAACCATAATAATATGAAATCATGCTAATCTACAACCTTAATAACTCAAAAACATGGTGATTGATTGTTCTAATAAACCACAAGCATGATGATCTAGAACCGTTATTATTCAGATTAGAGACGGTGATTGACAATCATAATCATCCAGAATCATGTTGATTTTGAGCTATTATCTTTCAGAGTCTTAATAATACAGAAACGTGTTGATTTAGAGCCTTAATGACTCAAAAACATGGTGACTGTGAATCATAATAATCCAGAGCTATGATGATCTAGAACTATTATTCAGAGCTGTAATTATTGTAATTTAGAACCATAATGATAGAAAACATTGTAATTGAGAACCATGATAATCTAGAATCATGCTGATCTACAACCTTAAGAACTGAAAAATAGGGTGATTGAGAATCATAGTAATCCAGAGTATTCTGATCTAGAACCTAAATGTCTAAATGTGATAATCAAGAACCATGACAATCCAGAATCACACTGATCTAGAACTGTTCGTATTCAGATTCATATTAATCCGGAGTCATGCTGATCTAGAGCCTTAATGACTCAACAGCATGGTGGTCAAGAATCATGATCTAGAATCTTGGTGATCTAGAACTGTTGTTATTGTTCAGAGCCATGCTTATTATGTTTGGAGCCATAATGACTCAAAAATGTGGTGATCGACAATCATAATAATCCACAGCCACAGTGATCTAGAGCTATTATTATTCAGAGTCTTAGTTATACAGACTATACAGACATGCTTATCTAGAACCATAATGCCTCAAAAATTTGGTCCAGAATCACGATGTTCTAGAACTATTATTATTCAGATTCATAATAATTTAAATCATGCTGATCTAGAGCCTTAATGACTTAAAAACATGGTAATCAAGAATAGTGATCCAGAGTTGTGGTGATCTAGAACTGTTGTTGTTATTCAGAGCCATAATTATTATGAGCCATAATGCCTCAAAAATATGGTGATAGAGAATTATAACAATTCACAGCCAAAGTGCTCTAGACCTGTTATTATTATTTAGAGTATAATAATACAGAAACATGCTTATCTAGAACCAAATATGGTGACAGAGAATCTTAATAAATCAGAATCATGAGGAGGATCTAGAACTGTTTTTATTCAGATTATGAACCACAGTAATCCAGAATCTTGATGATCTAGAGCCTCGATGACTCAGAAACACGGTCGAGAACCATAATAATTATGACAATAATGGAAAACTAGTTTGCTTGGATCTTGTAATTCTGCATGTTTTGTCTGTGACGGACAACACCAAAGCTAGCATTCATTTCAGGTTTTATCTGTGTGATGGATTTTGAATCAGTCATGATTAATGTCATTCTCCTGAGCCGGTTCGTTTGATTCACTAACATGTGTTACCTGTTTTCATTCTCATATCATATCAAACTGCTTCTCTGCACATGCATAACAGAGGTCTTATAATTGTGATTAACAAAACTGAAATTAAAATGAATAAAAGCTATACAGACGCATTTTTGCAGTTGTGCTGAATGATTGCTCAGTTTGGGTTTGTCCCGGTTGTAAATGACTCAGTATTGTCTGTCTTACAGGAAACACCCCCCTTCATCTGGCTGTTATGATGGGTCATAAAGGTGAGTTGCCCGCTTCTGATACGTCTTCTGATACGTCTGAATGCTTGATTGGGTGTTTCCCAGTATGATGCATCTGACACAACAGATCAGTGGCATAAAACATCATTTATGAACTTGCACAGGTCTCAATGGGAGACTCATGAAATTTTTTTTAGGTCAATTAAGTTTTTAATTGACATTTTTTCATGATTTTTCACATGCCTTATTAATGCAAAAACCCTCATTTTCATTACAGTAACACATCCAGATGTTATTTTTTTGACCACTACATTTTTTTATTTTCATTGTCATTACCGTGATTCAATAATTCTTTACCATATTACAATAAAACATATACTATGATAATACAATGAGTTTTTTTATATATATATTTCCGTATATAAATCAGCATAAATGACACATGCACACACACAGACACACACACACTCACACATAAACTCACTCTCTCACACACACATACACTCACACACTCACACTCACACACTGACACACACTCACACTCTCTCACACACACACACACACACTCACACTCACTCACACACACACACACACACACACAC